GGGGCGGGGGAGGAGGGCTGTCAGCACTCTGCCCCCGCCAGCGGGATTCGAGGGGGAGGGCAGGGGGGACCCTGCTGGGGGCCGGCACCGGCTGCGAGGGGGGTTACGCGCCCCGAGAGCTCCCCCGCGGAGAGCCGCGCTGCCGGGTACCCGCGGGGACAGCTCGGACCCTGCCCTGGGCTCGGCACCTGTGTCCTGACGTGCATGGACACGGAAAACCACCAACGCCATTTCCAGCTCCTCTGGCAGCATGAGCTAGGAGAGCTGGCTGGGGGGGAAACCCGCCACGGGCAGGCTGAGCAGCAAACTCTGACTGAAGGGTAGAGGGTTTTTTCATTTTACTGCTTTCCAACTTGAGTTTCATCTGAATCCAACTATTTTTTAGATGAAATCTTCAAATAAAACTGAGTGCTCTTTGTTCATGTTCTCTCTCAAGCTATTGTTGAGGCAGTAACTGGAACAGGGAATTACAGCATGGGAACATTAGACTCGCCTGTCGCCCGCCATAAGGACAGTAATTCTGTCACTTACCTCATTTCCCATAACAACGGATGTTATTGGCTTAGGGAATGTGTGAACACTCAGCTAAATCCTGAAGACCTTCGCATGCACACATATATATGTACATATATTCCTATATATTATTCACTCTTTACTTAAGCAAACGTCTGTTGCACTCATCGTGAGTTTGCTTCAGTGAGAAACTTGGGACTTACCTCTTTCTAACACCACAAAATGAGCTCTCAGTGAAGCTCCTCCTGAAACCCCACCGATTCTCTGCTCTCGTACAGCTGCCGGCTCTGGCAGAGCCCGGCCCCTGGGCCTGGTGGTGCTCGGCCCGGGCCAGGCTGCCGGGGGTTACAAGCCCAGCCGGGCTTTGCTCACTCTAGCTGTGCTTTACAATTTACCTAGTAGTGTGCTGGAAATTTTCGAGCCAACTTTTACTCACTACAGACCAACTGTTAGGACACAGGTTGCTTTCCAGCCTGCCTATCAGCTGAAAAGAAAGATCTAACATTGATGTATTACCTCCCCACAAAGGGAGGATGCTAAACCTTCGCACACCCTGTGCCTCGGTCAAGAAGATACAGAGTCACGACTGCTCATCTTAGTCCCGGAGTGCCACATACATACTTCTGTATAACCTGAACCATGCAGTGATCTTTACAGGGAGATTGGCCTAAACCAGACCCTTCACCGGAAAGAGAAACCCAAACCATCTGGCTGCACGTGAGAGAAGTGACAAGGGAGATTGTGAAGGGCTCAAGCCTGGCTTGGAGAGTGCAATCACCTCCCTAAGAAGTGTCTGCAGATGAAGCTCACACATACGGATCTGCTGCAAAGGCACGGGCAAGACGACGAGCTGCTCAGCAACGTCAGCAACATTCCCTGGCTCAGAGGCTCGGGATATAACACAAATATAAACACTCAGGGTGAGATTCACAGCTGGGGTCTACCAGGGAGGCTCCTCCGATTCCCATAGCCAATTTATTCTGAGACAGGACCCTCTCATCCATGGCATCAACACATCCTACACACACACACACACACACAGGGTTAAATCCCAGTTACAAATCTTCTGCATCCAAGTTTGCCACAAATATAAGCCCTAGACCAAGTTAAATGGGAACTCGGTAATGAAACATCTGCGGTGCAATCCAGAGGCTCCTGAACATGTGGCAAAGCAGAGAGATTCCCACTCAAACAGTATTTCATTACTAATCTAGTAACATACTACTTAAGACATATGTCTGATGGACAAACTCAGTCACTTCATTATGGCACTGCCATTTGCAAAGGTTTTACATGTCACAGTAACAGGGTCCCTGAAGTCTATTTGTGTAGATTTAAGCACGCAAACCCTGAAACAACCAGAGAGGGAATAAGCACATGGAAAGTTAAGCCCCCTGCGAAGCAGGAGAGCAACAACAGAAGCAGCCTACCTACCCAGAGGCCAGTGAAACCGGCCTTGGATTTTCTGTTACCTCATTATGCACTGGAGTGCGTAAACTAGCTGGAAAGGCTCATTATTAGTGTTAGGGGCTCTTTTTTGGAGCAGACTCACAATTGTACTGGCTTTATCATCTATAAGAGCTGGATGTGGTGAGCAGGCATAGCCAGCTCCTTCACAATTGCTTGCACTAGTGCTTCCTAAAAGAGCAGTTCCTTGAGTCTTCATGTAAAAATGGGAAAATACTGGATGACAAACCCCTTTCATTTGGCAGCTGCAGCATCCACACAGGCTGCCCCATGGGTGGCCATCAGGAGTTGGGGCTCTGTGTCCTCATTCCAGTTCTGCCATGATTTTGCTCTGTGGCCTCAGGCAAATTTACTCCCGTGTGCTCCTTACTCCCAGGTCTTTTCTTACTCACCTGCAGCATATGCCAAGTTTCATCTGACCATCAAGAGGCCAAAGCTTTTGGAGACCCATCAGTACAAGGACAGGCCAAACTGAATTACACATAAGACAAACATGAGATCATTATCCTAGAGAATATGGTAAACTAAAAAATAACTGTATTTTTATTAGAGAAAATGGACTATACAGGTCAGATTTGCTCTTGCTCATAACCACAGACAGACTCTAGAGGTATCAGGGTAGTCTATAGCTATACTGAAATAACAGCACAGAATACAGCCCCATTCTCAACTCGCTAACTGCGCACTGCGTGTGTTTATTGCAGCAGAAGCTTCAATATTTGACTGAACCCTTAGTGCTACTTTTGGCAGAAACACTTAAAGTCTACATTGTTTGAGAGCAGACACTTTGGCAATGTGATCACTACGTTTTGACACATTGAATAGAAAAGAGAATTTTTATAATCAGGATCAAACTCCATGGGAAAAAAAAGAAAAAGCCTCCAGAATGTAAATATTTGACATGATGGGAATTCCTAGGGATTTTGTCTTACTTAACTGTACACAAGACTCCAAGCTGGATGCATCCTCAAACCAAAAGCTATTGGCTTGTGTTCAAATTTTGTGGCTGCTTTTCTCTCTCCAATATGCCAGCCCAGCCCCACCAGATACAAACATCCTTTCAAGCTGGAAAAGTTCAGTTCCAGACCTAAAATCTGTAGTTGGGGCACATCCCTATTCCAAGAGCAGCATAAAGTGGCTGTCACTCATATGTCACTCTGTTACTCAGCCTCCGGTGAAGCATATCAGAGCAGCTCCTATCTCCATCTTAAGAGAGACACAAATTAACTGCTTTAGCGAGTTCTTAGGCAGGAGGAAGGAATTATTCACAATTCATCTTCAAGACAAAAATACTCATTCATTGGAAAATCAAAAAAAAAACCCAACTGTGATCTCTTCCACTCACTCGTTATCCCGTCTGTCTGTATCGATTAACCACAAGCGTTTCCAGAGAGCTCCTCAGTACAGCAGTTAGACAAAACAGTATCTTTTTCCAGCTTTCCGGTGCGTGCTGCATCCAAAGTACTGGCCCAAAGTCTCCAAGCAATGGGGCTGCACAAGCACTCAGGCACTTCGGAATGCCAATAACCAGGAATGGTGGCTGATCACTGCAATTAGCAGGAACTGGATCAAACCTCAAGACAATAGCAGTGGCAAATACTGACAAACTATTCCATGCACTCATCTGTATAAGCGACTTTCAGAAAAATCAGACCCACAGCATTAAATGTTAGAAAGGCAGAACTGGAAATGCTCCGCAAAGTAAATTGTTGGTAAAATGAAGACGGAAGATTCCTAGGCAATGGCCAAGCCTGAAAATGAGAGCCTGCCAGCAGGGTTGTACTACGTAACTGCTGTATGGTCCAGATTCAGACCCACTTCCCACTTTTAAAGGAAAAAAATACCAACCAGGAGAGAAATACTGTAATATGCCTTGTTGGAGACAAATCTTGTTTGTGTTCCTCCAAGCAGATTGACTTCGGAAAAAAGCAAAGTTGAGTCAAACATGTGTTTCCTTACAAATGGAAGAGAAAATGCATACATTACAGTTCGCACCAAATTAGTTACTGTAGATCAACTCTTCTCCAGAGCTAGATTGCTTAATCTGTTACATGTTATTGCTTCCTATGGCCAGAATTTATTATTCCCATTTATAATTCTAATGTTTCAGTTAGTCACCCATTCACAGGGATAAGATCAGTGCCTGAAGTCATGGAGCATTACACATTTCTTCATTTAGAGATGACATAAAACCTTTGATATTTTCTGAGGAATGTTCAGACTGGAATGAAATGGATGATAAGAAACATATCAATATATTATAGAATTATACTTATGCACACAGACTTTGTTAACAGAGCAAAATAGTGTTTCTTTAGCATTTTTCTCTCCTGAGAGCACACAGAAAGGATTTTGGGTTAGCCACTAAAGGAATAAGCATTCTTTTAAAAGCAAATGTTTGTGTTTAGCAAACTAATTTTTCTTGCATTTGTGTGGAGATTAAGTCAATGGTGCTTTTAATTCACTCAGAATAAGGCATTCCCCAGAGAACAATATATTTTATATTATAATATTATAATAAAGTTATAAAACTTAAATATAACCCACAGGGGGTGGAAAACTGTATCACAGCAGAACTTTGCCTTTTGCCTATCTGCAAACTGAACCCAGTTCAGAACAGGACTTAAGCAAATGCTT